ATGAATTTCTGATAAATTATTGATAAGACATAAATGATTGGAAGAGAGTTGAGTCTCATTCCCTTGAGATCCCAGAGATGTTGGCTAGATAAGACTTAATGGGCATGTCTAGTTTAGTAAAAAGTTCGTGCTGGTACTTTTTTTAGCAGGATGGGAGGGAGAGGGAGAGAGCCAGGGGGAGCATTGATGTTATTTGTTCGTTTGCTTATCGTCCAAACAAAAGAATGGGTTTCATGTAGAGGCGAATTGCATTAAGCCCCTATTTGGTACACATTCTTTCAAAATACATTCTTCTAAAACTCATTTTCAACCACACATTTTTCAATAAAATAATATTTTCGATCACATCAATAACTTTTCATTACTTTTTAACTACATATTTCCTATCATATCATTATTTAAAATACATTATTTTCTCAATAATATCCATCAAACACACCCTAAATGTTCTTTGAATATTTGAGGCTTACAATTATCTTTTCAGATGGCCATTGATATAGAGGAATGAAAGTAGAATAACCATATAGTTGACCCTAGGTACATGACAAGATTTAGTTAATTTGCAGGTGGCACGTTGTGAACTATATACATTGATGCAACAATGAGGCCTCTTTTACACTGTAAATGGGAAGAACAAATTCATCATGTGATCCTTGGACAATTTTTTTTTCTCATCAAGCTTCCATTTTGCAATATGTGATGTACAATCGGATAACCCAAGGAACAAATTCAAATCCTAAACTAAACTAACGGTAAATAGTAATCAGTTTTTAAATTGTCAATTCATCGAAGATGCCAAAATGTTGAAATAACTTTGTGTATATAGGTGGGTTTCTAAATAAAGAAATGATCTGTTATAGTAATGAGCCCTAAATTAGTGGAAATTGCATGAAGAATAACCTCAATGTCAAATGATCACAAAAAAGTCCGAAACTAATGTCAAATTGTAACAATCTGTGCTCTTCTTTCACATAAATCATTAATACTTTTGTTAGGAATATCAGTCCTTTTCATTGATTCGCAGAATAGCTTCGCTTCTGTGGACAAAGAGATCAATTCAATTCAGCTCCAAATTATTTCTTTCAAATAGCACAAAAATTAATTTAGGATTACCATCAAATAGAACTGACTTTTTAACTGTTATTATTATATAGCATACTGCCATCAGTTTCAGAACCCGAATTCCAAGAACATTGTTTGGTTTAGTCAGTGGATCATTGATGTGTATAGCCTACTATGTTCTACACTTCTTCCCTCGACTATGGTTCGACCTTCACGGCAGGGTCGCTGGGTGCTAGGGCGTTCAGGGTGGGAGCCCTCGAGGTGAATTTTTTGAAGTTTTATAGGGTATTTTGGAGATTTCGCACATAGATCATCCTCACATTTCATCCTATATGAAGGGTATTAGGACGAGCCTCTTTTTCGTGAGGTAGAGATAAAATAGTGAAATGCATGAAGCTAAGTCCTTGTTTGGCCCCGATTTTAATGAGATTTTGGAAATAATATATTTTGAAATGGTAATTTTTGGGAGTGTGTGTGGTTAAAAAATAACGAACAGTTTTTGGTTTACGTGTAATATTTTCAATTTTTTACCAGGATTCAATTTAAGTCTCTTATTAGGCAGAGGCCTTAGGTTGGAATCTTGGGGAATGTGATAGGCTCATTTTTGTATCGACTCGGCCTCTATGCTCAAATTGTTATATCATACTACTGTCTGCTTTGGGTGGATATTTGTCCATGTACTGCCTCACGGCTTTCTATCGCGTCCCCTCGGATTCGAATCCAAGATTTCTACCCAAAGCATATAGTACATATAATATAACGGATTGGACATAGAGACTCGGTCATTAGAGATTTCGCATTTAGAGTGAACCCCTCTAAATTTTGTGGTGTTACTTTCTTTTTTGAGTTTTTATATTCCGTTATTATTATTGCTCTGGGTAAATATAAGATTAGCGATTAACCCATAACTTTAGCCTTGTTTCATATATACTCTTCCTGAGTTTGTACATATGCAGCTCAGCATTTCAACAACGAACTAAGTTCTTTGGGTTCGGCTATTTGAATCATTTTTGGTCGCTCTGTTAGGCCCATTGTGACCATACATAACATTTGGTCTATCCTTCCCTCTTCTAATGTGTTCGACTGAGATGGCCTCACTCATACTAACAAATCCAGCTAAACATTTATGTCGGAAATATTTAATAGTTGTGTGAATTGTTTTCAGTGTGGTATTTGCACAGCTTCACTCGTGATCGTTTTATAATGAGGGAAATGAAGAGAGTATTACTTGTGTTTATTGAGACCTTACTTATATCCATATTGCTTGATATGATGCAGAGAGACACTAGTGGTTTGACGGCTGAGAACAAGGAACTCAAATTGAAGTTAGAGGCTCTTGAGCAACAAGCTCACCTTAGAGATGGTATGGGAGATTTCAAATTGTATGGGTTTTTGAAATTAGCTACTTCATTTATCCGTGGATTATGTTTCTGCAGGCATAAGAATTTTCCCCTTGTATGTTAAGTGGAAATCAAATTTTAGATCATATTTCTTGAAATAGATGGCTGAGTTATGTTACAAGACTATTTTTCATGGGGACAAAATTGGATAAGATTGATTTGCGTTGGATACTAATGTTTCGATTATTTGAACGTGATGCCTAAAGAAGCCACTGAAATAGCCGGAAATGCTATGCCTAATGTGTATAAAAGAAGCAAGGGAAATTATCATAGAATGGCTGCATACTATTTGTACATGTTATTTACTTTTATAAGAAAATTATCTTTTAAAAATCTGTAGTGAAAAGTAGTAATTATTAATAATTGAGATCCTTTTAGCACTAACTCTTGAATCTTCAACAAAGTGGAATCTTGTATAGAACCAGTCAAGAGTCAGAGTTTGTAACTTAGCCTATGTTTAGCTCTTGTTTATAAACGCTCGAGTGTCTTTTATCCACCCATTTCGAGGAACCCACAAGTAATATACACTCATCCATTACTCATTTCTATCTATATATATTTTAAACTTCTATAAACCTTTCCTGTACATGCTTTTCGTCTGAGCATGCAATTTTTATTTTTGTAACTTAGCCAAACATTTCACTAATGTATCAATTATTTATGCACCTAGTTATTTAATGTTCTTGTGATTGGAACCTTTGATGCATGAAATGGTAATCTTTGTGAATTTCAGCTCTGAATGAAACACTGAGGGAAGAACTGCAGCGTCTGAAGATAGCAGCAGGCCAAATTCCTGCTACTAATGGAAACAACAGAGGATTACGATCATCATTTTCGTCCCAACAACAGGCTTTCAATCCTTTCAGTAACCAAGAGGCACAGCAGCAACAGCAGCAGCAGTTTCAAATGCCTCATTCTGCCAACAATAACCCCAGCCAAAATATGCAGCATCGACCCAGTTTCGGGGATTTCAATCGGGGCATTTAAAGACATCTTCGGTACCTGCTAAGTATCTAGGAGTGGGTTGAGAATTCTAGGACTCGAGAACTTTTGGCGAAAAGTCATGTCTGTCACTAAAACTTCATTACAATTGGATCACTAAACTTCAAGTTCGTTACAATTTGGACATTCTGCCCATTTCCGTTAGTTTGACTAACGAGAAAGATGATGTGGCGGTCTAGTTGGAAAATAACCGGACTGACATGTCACCTTTTTTACTAATCAAACAATGGGATATGGATGGAAAACCGAATTATAACAAGTTGAACAACTAGAAATGAAGTTTATCGACTAACAAGAAGTTTCGCTTAAAAGTCTAGTGACCGCAGTGTATTTTTAAACCCATTTAGAAATAGAAAATAATTTACTGAAGTAAGTGTTTGTATATATGAACATGTATTGCAGCCCGAGTGTTGCTAAGACCCCTTTGTATCATTTGCACACCGGGTATGATGATATCAATAGTACAGAAATCATGCTATGTATATGTTATTTGGATCTTGATTTGAATTGCTTCGGAATAGTTTGTCACTTTTATGCAGATGATCTTGACAGTTGAACATGTTTGGCTATGCTTAAACTTTGCTTATAAGTAAATAAGTTTACGAATGCTAGTCGGCCTTTGTCGAGAGCTCTGGACCTCTTGCTTTTTTCTGCCTCAAGTATGATTTCTTATGGTTCTGGATGTGTTTTTTTGTTTTTGTTTTTCAATACGCGGTTTTATTACATATGTGCTAGTTCATTAAAACTCGTCGATGGGGATGATACTTCCAATATATCAGTGACAGAGATAAATAAATGAATTGGCATCACTAATCTCCACCTAATTTTTCTTCAATTGATCATGAGAATATTGAGTAGGTATTGAATGACTACTATCTATTCTCCTACTTGTGGGTGTCAAAAAGTTCACCTTCACCTTTAAGGTAATAAACTTGGAGTTATGCTATGTGTACATAGAGATGTACACATTGATGTACACATAGGGGTTGAGTGGGGTGGGGCCCATACTATGTGTACATAGATGTACACATAGGGGTTTACATAAAGTTGACACCACTCGACAAAGCTTTCAATTTTTAACAAATTTAGTGCTTGTTTTTAAGTATTTATACATGGTGAGTGGTTTGGATAAGAGATAGCATGGGTTCCACCACACTCACACTATGTGAACCTCTATATGTACATTTATGTACACAGATTAATCCATAAACTTGGCACCACTTGACAAAGCTTTCAATTTTTAACAAATTTAGTGCTTGTTTTTAAGTATTTATACATGGTGAGTGGTTTGGATAAGAGATATTTTTGCCTTGCCAAACATGACGCTCGCCCCTACCTAGCTGTCAAAAGAAAAAAAAATTCAAAAAATTTGAGGGTGGACAGATGGATGCCATGCAGTCCCATCCCCAACAAGCAACAACCACAGACACATAGTCAACAACCAATTCTTTGTACCAGGCATCATATTTTCCGACCAAACCCAATTTCTCAAACTCCGAACCAAACAATACGTACAAAATCAACCCGTCACCGTCCATGGATTCTTCACCTCTCAGCCTTCTACCACAAGACACCCTCCATCAGATCTTGAGTCATCTTTCCCTCCGCCAAATTGCCACCTGCAAATGCGTCTGTAAAGCCCTCTCTGCCTCCCTATCCTCGCCGCCGTTCCTGCATCTGATTGCCGACCAATCACTTCCCGCCTCCCTCTCCCTCCTTGCTTTGAAGCCCTTCGATGGCCACCATTTGGCCCCTGATTCCGCCCTTGATGCTTTTGACCTTTCTGAAAATCAATGGATTAGATTTTCTCTTTCGTTTCTCCCTTTTTCTTCGCTGCACCCTATCACCGCCTCCCACGGCCTCGTCTACTTGTGGGCTTCTCCACCGCCAGTACTGGAACCCAATAACACCCCTGTGCCCAATTCCCACAAGGCCCTCGTGGTCTGTAATCCTTTGACCCGCCAGTTCAAAACCCTCCCTCAGCTCGGCTCGGCTTGGTCCCGCCATGGCTCGGTCTTAGTCGGCTCGGCTAATGTAGTCCTTGTCCTCACAGAGCTTGCCATTCTCTACTACTGCGCAAGTAACAATAACATCAGCAATAATAATATGAATGTTAATGTAGTCAACAATTGGCTAAAGTTTTCGTCGAATTTACCATCTAAGACGCGGAGTCCCATTTTGGTTTTGGATTTTATTTTGACATTGTGTGATGTGGGAACTCCTTGGAGGTCCCAGTGGGCGATGTTTAAGATGAAAATTTCAGATATGGAGAAAACACAGCAATGGGATCAGGTGCAGAAGCCTGAGTGGGGGGATGTTTTCGACATTTTGAAGCGGCCGAGGTTGGTGAAGGCCGGGAATGAAAAGAAGGTGTACATGGTCGGCGGATTGAAAAACTCGCAGGCTTTGCAAAGCTTGTGCACTACGGTCTTGATATTAAAGTTGGACTTGGAGAACATGGAGTGGGAGGAGGCGGGACGAATGCCAATGGACATGTATAGGCGTTTCTTGGAAAGTACAAAGTTCAAGGTGTTTGGTGGGGGCAATAGGATTTGTTTTTCGGCGAAAAAGCTAGAAAAGTTGGCACTTTGGGAAGAAAATGAGGAGGGAAGAACCGAATGGCGATGGATTGAAGGCATTCCCAAGGATGATGACGGTCTTTGTCGTGGATTCATGTTTGATGCGAGGCTCGATGCTGCGGTATAGGGAAAGAATGCACTTGAAATTATTGGTAATTTTCTTGTTCTTTTAAAATAAAATGAGGGTTATTTGAATCAGGAATTATATGCCGTTATTTACAGGAGATTCAAAATGCTGCTTCTTTCCGTGTCATCATCAAGTTTTCATTATGCTTTTGCATTGTATTGCTATGAATTGCTGAATAAGTGTCACTATAACTTTCTTTATTCTCATAGTGTTGTAATGTTGTTTTAGTAAATGTTCAAAAGCATCTTACCTTCACTTGATTGGCAATTGAGATGAATCTTTCAGTCTCTGTCTATGAATGTAAATGTGTTAATAAGGAGTGTGATCGGATACTTGTGGTATTCGTTGTAGAGTGGATGTTTAGGTGTTCGTTCTTATTGTTGGGCGGAACCCAATTTTGTGTCGATTTAACCTTTGGTGGGAAGTTGATTGTGCATCTTGATTCATTTCATTTCATGTGAATATCAGTTGATATTGAGCTTCATTACAGGGAAGTATTTTGTAAAATTGAGAATTAGAATCCTCATTTGTACAAATCATAAATCTAATGTAATCCTAAGACTCTGAACAAATTTAAACAAGAATCATTATAACATTTGTATTTGAACAGAAAATTCAATTGAAAATTGATTATATGTTCTTTTAAAGACATGGTTATGCACTCCAAAATGTATGACACTATGGGGTCCGTATCACCATCAAAATTTGAAGAGTTAAAGTCCCCAAGAGTTCACTAACAAGAAACAAACATGAAATTTATTAATCATGAAGTTGTCAAAAAGAAAATTTAGATTGAGAGGCAACCAAAGCTAAAAGTACTTAGAATCGTTAGAAGTAGGGTGTGATCTGAAATTCTATTTGGAATCCTATTCGAAGTCTATTTGGTAAATTCTAGTTGAAATTCTATTTGGAAACCCAATTGGGAGTTGAAATTTGTGTTGAACTTGAAAAGGTCAAGATATGGGGGGTCAGGAGAAATTTTTTATGCTTTTCCACTAGCTGGCCGCTAACCTGCTGCATGCTGTCAAAATTCTGTTTAGACACCTAGTGCTGACTTGGCGCCCTTCTAGCGCTCAGCGGCGGCTCGTTCGGTCCAGACTCATTTTCGCCTTTTAACGCATTTTGAGCCCTTCCTATCCATCTATAACTCTACTTTTAGGGCTTAAACATTTCCTATATATATTTAGCTTTTCATTGTATTTTAGATTAAGTTAGACAAAGTTGTAAATAATTTTCTTTGTATTTTTTTCTCCATATTTTAGTGAAATTTCCTTTATTCTCTAAATTATTTTGTTTTTGTGATCAATTACTTCGTATTGCGCACATAATCTCGTATTTTCTTCAACAAATTGGTATTAGAGCAATTTAATATCATCTTCGTTTTCAACAAGAATCTTGAACGTTTTTGCTACAAACATACAAGTTTGGGACCTTTTTGTCAAGAAAGGTAGGACTGAAGTACCAACTATCTCGAACAATCTTGTATTCAGGAAAAAAAATGGGGTCTAGAAGTAATATTCTTTATGAGCTAAGTTATATTTCACAATTCTATTCACTCGAAGTTACAGAAGAACAATTGTAAAAGTAATACAAATGCAGAGCTATTCATGAGTTGCTTGATTAGTTGTGAAACAAGCACAATTGAGGCTAGGAAGATGGATTAATCTCCTATTAAACTTACCTTCGGATGAAATATCTGGAGCTGGTCGATTCTCCTAGTAGTTTAGGTTATGTTAATCAGTTGCCTTTTCGTTTAGGATTTTCCCCCGTGTACAGAAGCCGGCCACCAGAATATTGCCTGAACAGAGAGAAATGCGTGGGACCCACCATGTGATTAAAAAAATAAAAAATGCGCGGGACCCACCAAATGTGTGTATTCTGGTGAATTTCTGGTGAAATCCTTTCTGTACATCCAGCATAGTTCAGTTTCGTTTAAGCATGTTCATCAGTTGCCTTTTCGTGTTACCTTTTCGTTTAAGCATGTTCATTTCCGTGTTTATAAAGTCGTCAGAGGGTTCAAAGATGGGATGCCTTTTGAAATAACTTCTTTTTTCCTAATTTATGTGAAGCAACTTTCTGTTTAGGAGATTGATGGAAAAGTATTTAGAAAGGAGGTAAGATCTGCATATAATTTTACATCTTCTGGAAAGTCACCTCTGGTTAATGGATTTGATCTTACTTTGTGCCCTCGTCGGCTTAAAGTAGAGGTTTAAAGTGGTTTAGCTCACCGTCTCTATGGACATGGCACTTGTGCCCGAAATGAAATTTTAAAAAGAAAGTGTGGCATTTGATTTCGAAGCACGACTTAGAAAGGTTTGTTTGCATCAGCCACATTGAATTATTGAGCATTTGTTTCTCAAAGTTGTCCAATGGTTAATAGTCATCAGTTCGAGTCCTCTCAAAGCCACTGGGATGAGTGCCTGATCGTAAATTTTAAAGTTCCGTGGGATTAGTTGAGGTGTGCGCAAGCTTGCTCGAACATCTACAGTTATAAAAAAAAAAGTTGTCCAATGGTATAATTGGGGATTTAGGCCCTGTTTGGGAATGATTTAATTTTTCTACAGTAAATCAATTCTCATTTTCAACCACACATTCTTTAATAAAATAATATTTTTCATCACATCAATAATTTTTTCTTCTTTTTCAACCATGCATTTCTCATCATATCACTATTCAAAATCAATTCTTCCCCCAAAAATCTCTCACAAACAGGCTCTTAATATGTGAAACTTCCTAGTTTGGATTCAACGATGGACTATAATTGACTTAGTAATCTATCTAGAGCTCTTAACTTGGTCCCTATTTGGTGGAGATTAAAATTAAATTTTTAGCAGATTTTAATCAAAAATAATGAAATGTGACAAGTTGACTTAGACTTTACTAAAAATTTTGATCTTCTAATCATATACAGGGCTTAGTTGGTGTCCTCTTTTCCAAGGTCTTGGTCTTGTTGTTTTTAATAAAATTATTACCACCTAACCCATGTGGTGGTTTAATTAAAATAAAGTACAATTTAAAAAGCTAGGGTGTAGGAAAATGTACAAGTCGTGTTGACAGCTGAGCCTAATAATTTTTTTTCTTTTTTTTTTCCTGTGGATTTTTCTGAAAATAAAAATGGAAAAAGCAAACGAGGGAGGCCAAAACTCTGAAAATCTTGCCTGGTTAACAATTCTTGGACTTCAAATTTCATAATTGACCCCCAAGGGTTGGATCATCACAAGCCCTTGCACCTTAATCCGTGGCTTAATATTTGATGGTCGCCTTGAAATGATCATATCATTTTCCTACCTTTTCTTCGTCCCACCGTGTTCGAATTTTCGCTTTTAGGAAAATTATCAACTTACTGCAATCCTCCTTTATTATGGGCTTCGAACTACCTACGAAAGGCGTTTGATATTGTTTTTAAGTGTTTACAAGTCGTATGCCTTATGGATTATATAGATCATAAGTGTATAGTAACTTGTATGTCTTACGAAATGTATGAATAAAATATATTTTACCAATTTTTTAAAAAAAGTTGAGAAATCCCAAACTTCCCCTTAATTTAACAATATGTGGCACCATACATATAAATGCGCCAAAACGTGAAAATGGAACCAAGACATCGTAAATATCTTTTGGATTTTAAGCGCAAAATAATAAAGAAGTGAAATAGAGAAATCAAAACAAGTATTTAACATAATTTGACGATGTGCATACATCCACAAGGAGCGAAACGGTGATTTTTATTCAATATGAATAATATGGTTACATTATCAGTATTTATACTAATTCAAACTCAATCTTATACGAAATTTAGGTCTCGTACAAGAAAAAATTACACATGTACCGTACTTCGAAGGCATTTCCCTTGCACCCCCAACCTATTCAGCGCCCCTAACAAACAAATAGTGAATTAANTTGGATATATCAGAAAGCAGTGATAACACAGGCAACGACATAAAACTCGTTATAGCCTATAGGAGCTCCAAAATACGAGGAATGAACTCCAATATAAGTCACACGGAAATATATAAATATCTCAAGAATTGAGAAGTTTCCAATCTTATGGGATCATGAAAAAATAAATAAGTGGAGAAAAAAAATTGTTATTTCAAAAGGTGAGGGGGCTCCTTTAACCCTTGAATGGCTTCACCGTGAATGGTGAAATTTAAATGTAGACAAAATAGTACAACATTTATCAGACCTGTTGTGTGTGTGTGTGTGTGGTGGGGGGGGGGGGGGGGGGGGTTTAAATTATACTTTTTACCCTATTTAGTGTTTACTAGCAAGGTCGAAGAAAAAACAATTTCACAATAAAAGACGACTCAATACAAACAAGAAGATCGATGATCACCACCATAAAAAGAAAGAAAAACAACACTATGCCCTTTTTCTCTTGTGGCAAAATGTCCATATATGCGCTTGATTTACCTTTCTTTTTATTGACAAAACAACTTTTTGGGCCCACCTTCATAAGATCCCTTTTATTAGTAATAATCTTTTCAAAAATCCTATTGGTATAGATGGGTTTAAAGGTGCTTAGATGGACACACCTCATTGACTGATTTAACTTCTTTTTTGTAGAGATAAATTTACAGGTGCTAAAATAATCGCACCGCATTGACTGGCTTATCTTTGTTTTTTGTCCAAAATTCAATGAGCTCTTGTCACCTGACATTATGTAAAACAGCCTATGAAAACATCATGTACCCGTAGCATTTCTCTAATCTTTTTACATCACTATCAAATCTTGGCACCTTTATCCCTAATTCCACATCCATTATTATCATTAGATATACAAAATATGTATAGGGCCCATTCCACCACCCTAAAAACTTTGTTCGTTCTTCTTTATCCAATGGAGACTGATGGACGGTTTGCCATTAATATTATTTACAATTTGTGTTGCAAAAATAAAGGAATTGACATTGATGGGGAATCCATTCCCTTTGATCAGTTTGATGAGATAAAATAAATTAATAATCATTCCCACTTAATGTGATCATTTATATGCGTAA